ACACAGACAACCCCTCGACAATATGCGTTTTTGCATTGCATAGCTGCAAAAAACGCATAAAAACGCCAAACGCCTCCTGACCCCAGAAGCGTGCACTGTTATTTGTTGAATCTGTCGAGAGAAGTACCTATGATCCATCAACAAAAAAATGCATTCAAAAGTCCGTCAAAAAAAAAAAATATATTATCAAAAGCAAAGAAAATGCATTTGCTGTTCCACAAAAAGTACCATGTGAGAGCAGCAAAACGACGACCGAGTTCATTGCTTAACAAAGTTCGAATCTGCGCGAAATATGGCAGCCCATCACTTTCATCGGTGACCGAAACGATATCACCAACTCGAAACAAACGCGCACACTAAAAGGCAACACAAATGTACAACGACGAGACATGAGAGAATGAAAATTATGTACATAAGTAAATTTTGAGCTGATGCGGTGGTCGTTGTGGTGCAAGGGTCGCGGAGAAGCGTTTATAAGACATGAAGAAAGCGACAAACAATCCAAAATGTTAGCAAATTGGCCTAGCCATAACTGACACGGAGTGTTAGGTTGGGGGACAAGGAGAGTTCTGCCAAACTCCCCCTGGAGTCAGTCGATGGGTGCGAAGACGCTGATGAGAAGAACCGAGTTGAAAGATGGACGATGTAGAAAGACGCGTACTTCCGATCGTAGACAAGACCAGGACCGAGAATGAGGGAAATGGAGGTTTATATGGAGCCTACAGGATCCACCCCAAAAGTGAAGGAATGTTCCTCTTTTCCGATGATGAAGACCCATAAGGCGTCAGAGAGGCGAATTAGAAAAACTTGTTGATTGAGGAGAGGAAAGAATTTGTAGATGGGTGAGTTAGATGAAGAGCGGGTACGGGATTGGGTTACTGTGATGGGTCATGAAGGAGAGGAAACGAATGCAACATAAGAGCTGTATATTTGCACCTATTTATACATATACTGACTGGTCCATAAACTGGCAGATTATTATAGTTAATACATACCGGAGTAACTGAACGCAAATTAAACGAACTACGGATATCTATAGGGCCTCCGTAAAAAGAACAGGATAAACAGCGGCTCGCGCTAGTGTGATCATGCATCTCGCGCAGTTCTGTTCAGAAGAAATTTGCTGTTTACGAATGTTCACGGCTTCACAGTTTGAAATGTGCAAAAACAGTCGGAATAATGTCTGCTTCCCGAGCTGTGAAATTTCCCACCAAAAATTTTACGTGATCATAAAATGTAGAAATGGGGATTAAGCCTAAATTTGTAGGATAACAAATGAACAGTAACAGCAAATCTTCAGCCAAAACCTTCATGCGTGAGATCAGGGCGTACTTGAAAGCTGGACTTAAATTTTTATAGTCGCCTAAAGCAAAGAAAGACTTTCCTAAAGCTCAGCTTCCTTGCTTATGTAATCCCGGATTTAGTGATTTGCCCGTCAAAAATTTCATGTGTTCGCAAATTTCATGTGACCTGAGCGTATGTAGAAGCTGATTTTAAATTTTCTTAATCGTAAACAGGCATAGAACATCCTCGCAAAACTTCAGCTTGCTAGTTTTTCCGGTTCCTAGGTTGAAAACTCCGAATAAAATACGCTCAGAAAAAAAATACATATACATACACACAAATACATACACAGACAGTCTCGAGAATATGCGCTTTGGGCAAATGTTGTAATACAAAACGCACAAAAATAGGCAAAAATTAGACAGAAAGAAATATTCAAAAGCAAATAATACAAAAAAACTCACAGAATCGCGTGCAGCTTCATGCGTGATAATTCCTGCCTTTTGAGTTGGCGCTTTAAGCGGGCGATTAAACTTGAAAAATGATGTCCTTCGGCTTGCATACTTGTTAATTATCATATTCGACAAATTTCGGCGACCACTTAAAAAGAATTAGAAATGATGGCGTGCTAAAGTTAAAATCAATGGGGCAAGCATGGTTTATCTGAACCACTGCACATGCTTACCAAAACCTCCTTGCAACGAAAGCAGTACAAACAGAATGTGGTGAAAGTATACTTTTTTACTCTGCAAAAAGGAGGAAGTAAACCCGGAGAACAAAGATCAGCGGGCCCCACCACATCAAGAAATTATACAACTTCAACAACGGCAGCTTGCCGGGTGCTGAGGAAACTTCGAGGGTGAGCAAAAACAGCTAATTCACGCATCATCAGCTAAAAAATAAGAATCGGACTCACCCATTTTTTCCATAGCGCGAAGCGGCACATCGAGAGGCTGCTCTTCTTGCAGCAATACCAAGCGCCGGAAGCTGCAGAAGTGGAAGGTGAGTGTAACTTCTCCCATTCTATCATATTTCTTCAAAGCACTCAATTTAACATCAAATTTTACAGGTCGAAACACCTTAAGCTACAACTCGGTCATCATCAAAATGGTCTTAAAGTCAAGCATATCAAACAGCTGAAATTAAATTTTTTGCTTATACGCACGCAGTGAACATCTCCTTAAGAAGTGAACTACCTCATTTTTTATGCGTTTTGTGCTGTGTAACAGCAGTACAAAACGCATATTTTCATGGGGTTGTCTGCGTGTGCTTGTGTGTGTGTTTGTGTCCGCAGCAACTTGTCCGCAACTTTCAACTCGGGAACCACAAAAATTAGGCAGCTGAAATTTTGGTATAGTGTTCCCCGCCAGCGGGTGACGCGGCAAATTGAAATTCAGCTTCCCCTTACCCGCGGGTAACGCGTACGGCCCCATGAAAGTTGTCCATGGATAAGTTAATATCTCGGGAACCACGGAGTCTATGAGACTGAAATTTTAGGGTAATGACTCACTGCCCACGCTCAACCTTGCCCATTCAAATTCAGCCTTCCCGTGCCCGCGAGTAACACGTACGGCCCCGTGAAAGTTCACGGATAAGTTAATATCTCAGGAACCACGGAGTCTAGGAGGCTGAAATTTTAGAGGTATGACCCCCTGCCCCCGCTCAATCTTGCCCACTCAAATTCAGCGTTCTCGCGCTCTCGGGTACCACCTGCGGCCTCGTGAAAACTTCGGCAGGTAAAGTGC